TTGTGACACTGACTTTTTTTATCTCAACCAATACCTTAAATACAGATTAATTAATTGAAAGATATTATTTGGTCAAGCGGACCACTAAAACTAGTTAATTTAATGCTTTAATAATGTAATCGATTTTGATTTAACTCCTATTTTAAATATGCACCTAAATAACATTAGACGTACAAAATAATCAAATTATTAATTTAATTTTGATTAATTTTATAATTAATTTACTAATCTATTTTATAGTATCAGTATAATTTTTATTCGGAAATCGTGAGATTCCGTCTGGTGTGACGTAGGTTTCAGAAAAACATTTTCTTTATCGCGCCACGTTTCGATCTTTACTGAGATCATCTTCAGGGCTCAAAGTGTTTGTTTTCTGCGTAATTGTGCCACTCTTGCGTGTCGTGTTGAGAGTGTCCAAGTTTTCTGAAACCTACGTTACACTAGACCGCATCTCACGATTTCCGAGTAATCATCGACTAACGGTCACTAGTCACCACACATAATTTTTTATTAATTAATTTCAAAAACAAATTAATCACTAATTTAGAATCAATTTCTTATAGTATTTATTAATATAATATTTAATTGTGTTATAATTCGCGCTTTTCGCACGTTGAAAATTGAGCGGCATTAAACCCCAGCTTATAATTGGAATGTCGCGTTGGCGAGTGATCGGCGGTTCACTCATACAATTCATGTTTGGGTCGTGTTTACAAGGGTCGTGGTTGTAAATTCCTTCAACCTGATGATGAGATAGAATCTTGAAATCCCGATCGCTGAAAACAACCAACTTTGAGTAGGAGCTATGTTTTTAAAAAGATTGGGGAAATACTGACAGGCCAAATCAGCGAAAATAGACAAACCAAAATGATCTTAGATGACCCAATGTTAGGTGTTCATCACCCAACTGACTCCACGAAAACCTTTTTGAGTTTTTGGGTGTTTCGCCATTCGTACGACAACGTTTTTTAGGTATTTCTACATCTCAAATGCAACAATACAATTGAACCGTGGTCTGTCTACCTTGGTCGAATTCTCAACCCTTTCGCAGATATTGAAAATTTACTTCGGTTTTTATTTTATTTAACTACAGGTGTCTTAACAAATCTACTCGTAGCTTTAAATTATTCATTTGCGGAAATTAAAAGTAAAATAAAACACAAAAATTGCGTTAAATTTCCTTAAATAAGATTTCTTTTTGTCCTTTTTTAATTTTCCTATAGAACATTAAATTAGTTTTGGAGGAAAAATACACTAAAACTTCCAAATATTGCTAAATTTAAAATTTGTATAAAAAGATAAATTTGCAATCTTTTTGAAATTAGTCACGGTAGAGATTTGCAAATTTTGTAACTTCATCTTTTAATAAGCTTTCTAGCGGTATACCCTTTTCTTTAATTACATCGAACCATAAAATACAGAAATTTTACGCTAAATAGGAAAAAAGTGGTTACAGTTTTAAGAAATGAGATTCGAGTTAATATGGCAATTCAACTTTTTTGTCCCGGGAAGAATTTATTTCGCAACTGTAATTTATTAAAAAAAAGCACAATAAAATGAAAGAAAAGTTAAACACAACACATAAAAAGAGGCAATAAACAACCAAAGCAGAACTTGATTAAGCAGATTGAACAAAATATTTACATGAAACCCAAATAAAAGAAAAACAAAAAACGACAATACAGAACATGTAACACCAAACTTTAACCTAATAAGAAAGCACATACAAAACAAAAATGAACGTAATTTTGTTGTTCACTATCTTAGTTGTCTTTATGAGCTTTGTTTGATTTTTACGTTGAATTTTTCTTTTTCTTTACTTTAAAGAATAAGGTCTATAAAAATTCAATGTAACAATCAAACAAAACATAAAAAAGAGATAATAAACATAGTGAACAACGAAATTTCTTTGAACTTTTCTTCTTTTTTGTCTGTACTTGTTTATAAAGTGAAAGTTAGGTATTACATTGATACCACCGATATGATAAATATAACCCTAAAATATTATAATTTTAAGATCCAAAACTGATGGTGCTGAAATGCCGAAAAGCCTCTGACAGAACATTATGGGCGAAAGGCAGACTAAGATGACCATTGACGACCAAACAGCAGGTTCATCACCCCCAAACCACATAGAAATCTCACAATTATAATTTTACATTAAAAACTAAGGATAATAGGAATAGGCCAATTAAAAAGAATATTCTTAGTTTCTTCCTTGAACCTTTGAGAATATTTCCCACTCAACATTAAAACTAATATTAATAATTTATAAAATTAACTAAATATGAACGTCTATTTGCACATACATACCGAAATCGGTTATTCTATCTTATAAATATCTCCATCCGGTTATCCTTTACAACTAGTCATTTAACATAAATTTACTAAAATAATGTCAACATCAGCATTCATAAATTTTACCCACACCAATGGTCAAAATTAAAAATTACCTTGTAACCGAATATAATTCAAATGCCGATACAAAATATAACTGAAATAATGAATATCAATCAATAAAAATAAATACAAATTTTGTTATTTAATATTATACTACATATAACCCTCAAACTCTTTACTAATTTCTAAAGCACGTAGGTCTGTCTAATAGGTAACGTTACGCCAAATGTTGAGACATACTACCCGCCTCAGAATAGGGAATACTAGGTTGACACAAGGAAACTTACTTGTGGACTAACGCGTAGGTATCTATTCTGCATCTAGAGACAGGTTGCTAGTGTTGTCATTGCTTGGCTCCATAAAGAAATAAGAATTGTGGTTGAGCAGGTCAGAGAATTTTTGTTCCGATTTTTCGAGGAATTGTATGTAGTACTTTGTGGATATTCTGTTTTATATTGAGAGTGACTGTATTTATTAAAGTGAAACTATTAGATGGGTTAGTAATATGTATCAGCAAAAACTGCACTGTACCAGCTAACCAGTGACCTAAAGGAAACACTGGAAACAAAGGAAATAGCAATCTGTGCGTTCCTCGATATTGAGACAGCCTTCGCCAATGCATCTCATGCCTCAATAGGGAAAAAACACTTAGACCAAACCACATCCAGATGGATTGGAGAAATGCTAAGAACTAGAATAGCTGACACAAATATAGGAACAGACACTATAGAAGTTAGCACAACCAAGGGATGTCCTCAAGGAGGGGCACTGTCATCTTTTATGGAGCCTAACAGTTGATGAATTGCTCGAGGCCCTGGACCGTACAGGGATAAAATGTCAGACGACATAGTCCTGACTGCCAGGGGAAAATTAGGAAACTCTCTGTGATATAATACAAGAGGGTCTAAAAATCACAGAAGAATGTTGTAAAACAGCTGACTTAGGAATCAACCCTACTAAAACAACTATAGTCGCTTTTACACGGAAAAGGAAACTAGATCAAATGACGCAAATAACACTCAATAATACCGTGATAGAAATAAAAAAGAAGTCTAGAAATAAAAGAAGAAGAATAGAAATAAAATGAAGTATGAAGATATACTTCATTTTAACGTATTAAATTCACTAGTATTCGTGGTCCGCTTGACTAATTAATATCTTTCAATTAATTAAGGTTTTGGTTGAGATAAAAGAGTTAGTGTCACAAGTGGGATGCGAAAAATGGCAAAAAGGAGGGAAAAATTCAAAAGGTGGGGTTGAGATGGGAAGTTAGTGTCCGAGTGGATCAAAGTCACGATAGCTCAAGTGGTAGAGCAGCGGCGTATCAAGCCGAAGGTCGTGGGTTCGAATCCCGCTTGTGACACTGATTTTTTTATCTCAACCAAAACCTTAATTAATTGAAAAATAATTATATACAATAAAACAGCCTTGCTTCATGCAAAAATCGTAACATGGGACCCAAAGCTCAAGCACGATTGTCACATCGGGTGGCATTCATACACGCTTTCTATATAGAGCCAAGGAGTTGCACCCTTTAATTAGGTAGGGCACTTCTAGTGTACGTAAGTCATACTCGCATGGCCTACCAAAATCAGGTGAGAATGACCCTTCTTTTAAGATAACTATTTGTTAACAGTACAGGTTTTATATTTTCAAGAATATTCATTAGAGCTAAATAATTTATTAAATTACTGCTCTTTATGTTAATTGAATATTGAAAATTTTAGGCTTATATTTGAGGCAGATGATATTTTTGTGTACTGAAACTTAATCCGCATCGGATTAAAAATACATTTAAGTACGCTAGCATACCATGTGAAACTGAAATTGGTTGATGTCAATTAAAATTTCCAAACGAAAATTTTAAATTGTTTTGGAATTAACTGAAATTAACAATCTCTTTAGTTTTTATTAAAAGAAATTATTAAATTTGTCTGGTATTTAATTTTTGTTAATTCTAATATAATATAATAATTAATTATTCTAAATAATAATATAATAATTAATTACTCTAAATTGTTTTACCAAAAATATACAGATTAATCATTAAACCTTTCTAGTTGTAGATTGTACAGGGTACACATTTTTGTGTAAAGTGAGTAGTAATTGTAATCAGATAACTGCCAGTTTTAGGTTCTGCCGTCCAAATGAGCCATGATTTGGGCCACTTGCGTCCAAACGGAACATGAATTAGGCCATTGCGTCCAAACGGAAACGTCCACGTGTTTTTCTAGAAGTAATTACTAAAACAAAAGTTTTTATTTTTACAAGGTTAAATAACCTATATAATTTTTGCCCCTGTAGATAAAATTCCTGATGTTTAATTAAAAATCTGTGCATTGGCAGGCTTGTTTTATTAGTAATTAGTTCCAAAATCAATCGGCTATCGTCCAAGTCCAAGCACGAGTCCCAGAAAGGCGATTAAATTTTATCAGACGTGGTTTCTCTGATTGTTATGATCCAAAATTCATGGATATCCGTGAGTCGTGGACTTGGACAGAACACGACGGGCCGCCTCCCTCTTGTTCCGTATGGCGGGGGCACGGGAGGACCCGCTCTTATAAAAGGCCCTGCCTCTCCATCGGTAACAGTTACTTCTCTCTACCAGTGTTGAACGGGTGTCTGTGAAGGATTTTCTTACATATCTACGTACAAAATACGTGAGTTTTTCCATAATTTGTGCGATTTTTCTTGTTTATTTTTCTATTTTATTTTGCTTTTTTTCGAGCCTGGTAAGCTCATCGAAAGGTTGTTTCATTAATTAATTGCCACCATGTATCTAAACTATGCCTTTAATAATAAAAATAGAAAAATATTAGTGACGACTTATTCTATCATAAAAAATATGTAAATATATTTTCTGGTCTCCCTTCATAATGGAAATAAAATTAAAATTAATTAATGCAATAAAAGAAAACTTATCTTATATAAATTTTTAGAATAGACACCATAGACAAAGCATGTAAAATTACACAGTTTTGCTTTCTAAAAATTGCAGTAGTATTTTTAAAATATGTATATTTCGATTAATATGTAAGAATTCTCACATTAATTATAAATGGAATTAAATTATTCTATTTATTATAAACTATAGTGCAATTCTCCAAAGATTTTGGCTGTTACCCTTCTGGTTCTCTTTCACATGTTCGCTGTTCAAAAAAGGACTGAATTTTAAAATATTTTAAATAAAATTAAATTTTGCGGCTAAAAAAATATACAAAAAGTTATCCAAAGTACAAAATAATATATACACTATTTGTAGAATAATCTATAAAGTGTGCATGCGTTGGGGGCTGAAATGACCTATCTGTCGACAGCCCCGTTGGAGCCTAACTAGTGCTATAATCTAGTTATTATATTTATATAATTTATTGGTTGGGAAGCGATGTTCTGCATCTGGTTTAAGGGAGCGACCAGCGACCCAATGGCATAACGGTGTACATGAACTCCCATGAGGTATAAATCCTTAGGGTCAGCACATCACGGAGTGACAATCCTTCGGGATAAAAGCATGCATAATAAAATACACATTAACAAAAAATATATTAATCTTATGCTGCAATAGAAATAGAATAAAGAAGAATACAAAACATCGTAATAATAATGAGCTGCAAATTGAATTGTTCAATGAACTCCCAACGATAATGGCAAGCATCAAATTTTACTGGCTGCAGGCTTGGTTCATTTAGAAAGGCTCGATCATCTTCGAAGCGATCCAATACAAAATAAGAACCTCTTACAAGAGAGTAAGTTTCGCCAAAAAATGATCAATATATTATTTTTCTACATAAATAGCATAGTTGTTTATCCATGATGGAGTTTTAATGGAGTGGAATTTAAAAATTAAATATCGCCGCGAAGTTGGAAAACAGTGATCTCTTGTTTTCAACACCCCCACACAAAGTTTCTCGCCCACCAACTGAACATGCCGTTCTGTCCCGCTTTTTGTATAACAGAAAACTCTCAGTTGATATCTCTCCCGAGTGCTGGACCTTATCCTAGACAAAATACTCTGGAATTTGCTCCATCTTTAACCTTTATAAATATAAACAAATTGTCTATAGATAACCGAACAGAAGGATGTTTCTACATGGAATTCCACTGTTCATACCAAAATGCCCTTTAATGTAATTTTTTAAATTACTTTCAATTAATTAAGGTTTTTAGTTGAGATAAAAAAGTCAGTGTCATGAGCGGGATTCGAACCCACGACCTTCGGCTTGATACGCCGTTACTGTACTACTTGATATATCTTCACTTCCATTTACTCGGGCACTAACTTCCCATCTCAACCCCACCTTTTGAATTTTCCTTCCTTTTTGCCATTTTTCAAATGTCGTGTAATCTATTTGATTGTCGGCGACAAATGAAATTACCACGGAGAGCTTTAGTGAAGGTATACTTAATTTTACTTATTAAATTCACCAGTTTTCGTGGTATGCTTGACCAATTAATATCTTTCAATTAATTAAGGTTTTTAGTTGAGATAAAATTCAAAGATATTAATTGGTCAAGCATACCACGAAAATAGTGAATTTTTAAATAACGATGGGCAGGGGTTTGCAATCCTTTTTTACAAAATTAATGTGCCACCTCAAAGTAGAAAAAAAGGGACCAACGTTTAAATAAATATATTTAGGGGTAAGAAGTACTACTCAAATAAATTATAATAAAGAATAAAATCCTTATTAAACTCAATTCTTAACTGTTTTTGAAACATTTTTTTTTTAAATTTTAAATTAACAAATTTTTAGTGGGCGTTGGTGGCTGCAACTGTTAAGGCACGGTGGCTCTGAGGTAAAGCTTCAACGGCCCTGAATTCGAACCAAACATAATATTACAAATGGTTTTTTGCTTTGTTTTTTCAAAAATATCCGGGGTTGATTTGACCTCTTAAATATAGCCTGCCGAAACAGTTAAAATTAATAATTAATGAGTCAATAATATAAAAAAATTAAAACCACGGTTTTTTACTTATGCTTTAGTTCAAACCCACAAAATGTTTTGGTTCTTTAAAGAAAACTTCGGCTATTTTTTGGAGAATAAAGTTGTTCAATTGTGAAAATTCCTAAAATATTATTTATTTAAAGAATATTTACAGGGCGTCGATGGCCACAACGGTGCTCATCACTGTATGGTAAAGGTCACGGGTCCGAATACCAGCACGGCCTGAATTTTAATTTAGAATAATTGAAAAAAGTATTTTAAAGTAGTTCTGACCCCATGTGGCGACACGCAACGGGTAGTTGGACGTAAGCCGTCCTGTATGACAGGAGTTACTTTTATTTATTTATGAGAATTCCCTAAATATACAAATCCTATGCAACAAAAATTCTTATGAACTTAGACTGGATACTTGTCCATTTTTAAAACAACTGGATTTTAAAAAAACGTACTAACCGACTCCATCCGATAAGATTTTTGTATTTAGGCCCACTGTTTCAATTTTTGGAGGAAGTAGGACTGTTCATGCGCTATTCAGCACTGATAAATATTTTCTCTTTGTGTCCCATTTTGGGTTATTGGGAGTGAATGTATATATTAGCGTGAATGTTTAGTATGAGAATATTGAGCACCCAAATGACTTAAATTTGTTTGTTACGTAATTCGTTAAAGAAATTTTGAGTACTTCGCCAACCTACTTGATTGAATGAGTGAGAGTGTGTCTGACATGACCTAGTTGTTGACCAGTCCTCGAGCGGCGGATAATCGAGTTCTGCCTTCAGATCCCGAAGTGGATGATATTCATTAGTTCAATCCTCAACAAGAAATCATATAAATTAATCAATCTTAACTTTTTTAAGAGGATATTTGGGGAGATTATAAGAGCCCTCGGAGTGCCGGTGTTATTGGAAAAAAAGCCCATTCGCAAGTATGTCGGTTCGAATTCAGGGCCAGTGGATTCGAACCCGTGACCTATACCATACACGATGAGCGCCTTAATCGTTGTGGCCATCGGTATAGTAAATATTTTTTAAATAAATAATATTTTAGGAATTTTCACAATTGAACAGTTTTATTCTCCAAAAAATAGCCGTTGTTTCCTTTAAAGAACCAAAACATTTTGTGACTTTAAACTAAAGCATAAGTAAAAAACTGTGGTTTTAATTTTTTTATATTATGGACTCATTAATTATTAATTTTAACTGTTTCGGCAGGCTATGACACAATTATCCTTATTTTATGTGCTCTACCCTAAGCCTTTTTTAACGGTTCACCGCTAGAGCCTTACGAAAAATTCACATAAATTTATTCTTGATTTAATTGATCTGTGCACCTAACATTATTAGTTTTCATTGAATTTATTTACTGGGCCTATTCGTTATGCTACGAACGACCATTTTATTTCTATGAAAAGATTGAATTTCCGGCAGTAAATTGATAAAAACGGACACCAATGGAGTAGAGTAGAAAATTGTTGGAAAACAAGCAATATAATTAATCAAGTAATTAAAAAGACAATAAATGGGGCATCTCTTGTCATTTGGTGTACAAAAAGTACGATTAAATTTCATAATTAAACATTTACAATTAGCGTGATGTTAAAAAAGTTAAACGGTTCAGAATCGGGCCATGAAGAACATTTTTGTTCCAAATGTCTCGTATATATAAAAAATATATATCGTATATTAAAATTTTATTTTAATTTTTAAGACATAAATAAAAAAAATAAATAAATAAAAACTAAGGATCGGAAAATGCATATTGTTGGTAAGTTTTGAACTGATTCTTTGATAGGTACTATTAAAGGTTTAGGCTGGTTTTGGTTAGAATGCAATATGAAAAATGTTAATACTCCTTTATATCATTTGGTTAAGAAAGTCGGAAATCTCATCTCAAGATTAACTGGAATTCGAAAATCTGGAATGTACGAATATAAGTGCAGCCGACCCATCAGCACGGGCTTCTTTGCATGAATAATCCCGTGGGAAAAAATCAAGATCGTTATCAAGTTCGATGTATGTTTAATATTCAAACTACTTTCCTCCAACCTTCTATTTCCCAGCTGCCCTAACGGATTGATTATTTTAAATAAGAAGTCGAGCCGGTTTATCGAAGTTCGACTCAATTACGCTAATTGTTGATTTTTCTGTAAATTTTGATATTTCAACCTTTAATAAACATGTGTGGTGATTAGTGATCGTTAATCGATAATTATTCAGAAATCGTGAGAAGCGGTCTGGTGTGATGTAGGTTTCAGACAAACATTTTCTTTATCGTGCCAACGTTTCGATCTTTACTGAGATCATCTTCAGGGCCTTGTGTTGTCTGCATTTCAGTAAAAAAGTTCTCTGGTTGATAGCCGATGCATTGCGAGCCGATGGGATTCTATGAACAAATTTCAACTACATATGGATACGCAGCTAAAAGTATTCTGAAGGACATCACCAACAATGAGAAGAAACTCGCATCGGCTGTCAACCAGAGAACTTTTTTGCTGAAATGCAGACAACACAAGATGATCTCAATAAAGATCGAAACGTTGGCACGATAAAGAAAATGTTTTTCTGAAACCTACATCACACCAGACCGCATCTCACGATTTCTGAATAACTTTAATAAACTTTATGTTCTTGTTTTTCTTGTTTATATGCTTAAGGTCTGTACTCGATTACCAAATGTTATTTTGTCGGTATGACACCTTATGTTTGGATTAATT